TACAGTTCAGCTTTCACACATGAATCGTCAAACGGAATGGCCTTTTCGGGCAACCATTGCTGCATGTCACTTTTTCGATATTTGGTAAACGTTCGGCTCGACGACTGTAATAGGAAGCATTATCCATGACGATCACAGAGTTGGGTTCAACTCGGTGAAGCACCCCTTGAAACCAGCTCTAGAAGCAGCTGGCATTCGTCATGGTAATCACCTCCTTTCTTAGAGGTGAAAGTCAAGTTGCATCCTTCTAAAAAGCCACTATCGCTGCCAATATGTGTAACGATCAATCTTTGACCCTTCCCTGACGGTGCACGGAGACCTGTTTTCAAACCTTCAATGCTTGCTTGTCGGTTACTTAATACGTTTTAGTCTATCCACGTTTTTTCAACATTGAGTTAGCAAATGAAGCCGACTATAATTTTCTCGGGATAATAAGTATAACTTGGCGAATTTGCACAGCGATCGGACAAACTTACTTGAAGGAAAAAAAACTGAAACTCACCGGATCGGGGTGGAATGAAAGCCCAAAGCTCAACCGCTTGAGCAAACCAAGCCATTTGAAATCCGTTCCGAAACAGGCAAGGACCTAATAAGGCAACTCCGAGGACGATTGAAAATGACTATTTTCTCATGGAAAGCGTTATTGTGGCTTGTTTATGAGAGATCACTATACGCTTCCGCGGATTTTTTAGTTCTTTTGAAGACCCTTATTTTCGTAGTAGTAGCATTTATGTATGATCCGCCATTTAGGCAGCGTATGCAGTTAAGCTAGCGGCTAGCATTTATTCGAGCAGATCGCTGTATGGAAGCTTTCTCCTTAAAACAAGTCCAGAAATCCATAAACAGTTTTACTCAAGATTATTATAACAAAAGAATGAGATCTTGTGAGCATCATACAAAAATTAAAATTGTAATAAAGAAATGAATCAAAACTGTAGGGCCACACGAGTATTTTCCCAATTTTTGTTTATTAACATAGGTACTTGTATTCTAATATCTCAAAGTTTGTCAAGCTGATTGTGGGACATATTGCTACTTGAATAAGACGTGTATTATTTAGAATGTGTAAATCGGGCACTTCGAGTTTAGAATACCACCCTGTTCTAGCCTGACGCCTCTCTACAGCCGTTTCGTCGCCCGGCGGCGGTGATACTCTGATGAGTCATTACAGTTTTAGATAGTTATGATATAGCGCGTTTTATAAAAAAATCTTAAATGGAAAGGGGGGTCGAGTAATACCTTATTTTAAAGGTCTTTCAATTCCCTTTTAAATGATGTAAAATACATGAGCTACAGTTCAGTAGTTTTGAAGATTTATTGATTTAAAGCTTAAAGCAGACTTTAATAGGTACATCAGATTAGTTTGTACTACTTTCAGAAGAAATTTGACTAAAAGAATTTACTTAATAAGTAAATGCTTTTCTTCACTACATCCATGATTTGTTTATCATTCTGTTGTTGAAAATAGCTACTGAAGCGTTTTTTTGTGACAAAAAAGTTATTTCTTGAAGAAAGATAAGGAAATATCTCGTTCTTATTATAAATAGGAATTTAGTACATAGTTTGCGATTGATTTGACCAAACTTTGTTGCTAAAATATCTTGTAACGCTTTATTACATAAATTAACCATGGTATATTCCACAGCAGAATGAGTTGAAATTATCGAAATATTTTTCGGAAATAATCAGTGCGCTAATAGAACAACAGAAATATTTAATGAGCGACATGAGAACAGTAACGTCCATCGAAAATATGTTCTAGAACTTGTATCTAAATTTCGGGAAACTGGGTCAGTCCCCAATGAAAAACGCAACATTGAAAATCCCATAAGGAATGAAGCAATAGAAGTGGCGGTTTTAGGGCAAGTTTATGTAGATCCCACGTTAAGTACCCGCAAATTTGAGACTGTGTGTGGTGTTAGACGACGTACTGTCCAAAGGATTCTAAAAGCCCATAGTTTTCATCCGTATAAAATTCACCTGGTACAAGAACTTAATGAAGACGATTTTGATCGGCGATTGCAATTTTGTGGAAGATATGAGTGAACGAATTATAAACGATGAACATTTTCTATTCAACACTTGCTTTTCCGACGAATGTTCCTTTTTCTTGAATGGTAAATCGTCATAACTGCCGATATTGGTCCGATTCTAATCCCAGAATTTATCATGAGGTTCATACACAGCAGCCACAAAAATTAAATGTTTGGGCTGGTATTTTTGGCGATCATTCAGCTGGTCCTTTTTTCTTACCTGGAAATTTGACCGGTGAAATCTATTTGGAATTACTGGAAGACGCCATAGATCCTGCATTAACAGCCATAATTGAAAATCAGAATGATCGGCGGTACATTGCGAATAGGTTGATGTTCCAACAGGATGGCGCCCCACCACATTATGCATTACGTGTTCGACAATATTTAGATCAGACGTTTCCAGATCAATGGATTGGTAGAAGATGTGCCATTAAATGGCCCCTTAGATAGTCAGATTTATCACCTTTGGATTGCTTTATGTGGGGTCATTTAAAAAGCAAAATCTATGCTACTCAGCTAACATCATTAGAAGACCTGCGACAAAGAATTGTGAATGAGTCATGTTGGCCATTTTCAAAATTTACTTGATCTCCACTAATGATGATGTATTAGTTTTATTTAAGCTTTAAATCAATAAATCTTCAAAACTACTGAACTGAAGTACTTTAATTTTATATCATTATTCATAAAGGGAATTGAAAGACCTTTAAAATAAGGTATCACTCGACCCCCCTTTCCATTTAAGATTTTGGGGGTGGTGTCACCCCCGCTTAGGGGGCTGCACGTGCTAACGTGATTTCTTGCCAAACTTGTGTCCCCCTCGAAAACAAAATTGACGGGTCTGAGCGTTTTTAAAAAAAAACTGAGCTGCTAGTAAATGCGTCTATTTCGTTTTCGATGCGCCACCCTGTATATTTATTAACTAAAGCAGTTTCCATTCTGCCGACACGGCGGGTATACTGTTCAGTGTTTGGCGGCACATAACAAACACTTTGAAAAATTATGAATCTTGTTTGAATGTTGACTTACAAATCGATTGTTAGATGTTGTTACGTCCATGCTACGCCACTGACCACGCCGCACGCCGTTGTCCTCACCACGTTTCCACAGAGCGCAAGCGCTGAGGCTTCGACAATATGTTCAAGGACAATGACATGAATTTGGAATTGAAATATAGGCTGTTACAGAACCCAATGGATTAGTTTTAAAATTCTCGTTTATGGAGGATCTGCACATCCAAACCTAGGCGGTAACAAACATAAAAAAAAGTTGTCCATAGCGTATTAGAAGACAAAAAAGGTGTAGGACATTCAGTTTATATGGACAATGTGTATAAGAATGTCACATTATCGGACTTGTCTGATGCATATATCTTTAAGGAACAGAAAATTTGTGAACCGACGTTCGAATATTGCCGCGAGTTTAATACTTCCATTGTTTAGGTAGTTGTAGATTTTGAAAATTGATTCAGAGGCGGTAGAAATAAAATTGCTGTTATAATGTTTCAGAGATTCCTGCTCATTTTCAGACATTGTCCCGGATGAAAATTGTATATTAGAAGCTGTATGCAGTAGATGGTTGTAAATTGCTGCGTATTTTGAGTCCGTGAAAGACCTGCTAGTATCAAGAATCTTTGAGTATATACGAACAACAAAATCTTTTTTTTTGCAGCATGTGGATTAACTCTTAGAACTTTCTAATTAGCATTTGATGTAGTTTTAACTATATTTGAATGAAATAAGAGTAGAGTATGGAAAAAATATTTTATTGCTATATTTTTGTTCAAGTGTAACAGTCATAAATAAAAATAAAATAAAAACGTATACAACACTTTTTCGCACATAAATAATTTAAATAAACTATTCTGAATGAAATAACGTCAAAGCAAAGCTAAAAACATTCTATATAAAAATATCTGCAAAGGGTAAACTATTAGCATATTTAGATGGAACATTCTTTGCAAATTCTCCTAGTACATTCCATGCATATTAGAGATTTACACATTATACAAACATGGAATGTTTTTCTCTCCTTCTTCGAGGGACAACGTCTACAAGTTGTTCTTGTATTCAGCTTATCACCTTCCATAGGATGTTCTTCTTGTTCCAATTGTAGTATGCGTCTTATAGATATTTTCATTTCACGACCAATACGCACACTTTGATATCGGCGTTGCATATGTGGAGTTACCAAAAGCATTGCTAACTGTTTTCCAAAATGATAGCGGTTTATTTCTGGATTATCTCGGTATGACTGATGTAGAATATATGAATTTACAGACGCTATATCTACCAATCTAACAAAATGGCCATGGGCCATCGGGGAGTTCTACGACTTGAAGAATAAAGACTGCACTTTTGGTCCAGGCTATCCACTCCACCTTCACTAGTGTTGTAAAAACTGATAATTTCTGGCTTACCAGTCTCAACATCGGTATTTTTATTGTGGTGCATGGAGATCATTATTACTGCTCTATTTTTTTAGGTACAAAAGATAACATGGTTGAATCAGTGGTAAATCCATAGATGCTGGAACCAATATCTCTTTTTCTATTTGGCAAAAATGTAGGAGGAATCTCACCTGTATTTTTAAGTCTTCCGACAAAAGTTAGATTTTTAGTTTTCAGAAAATTTACCAGCTCTTTTGAGGAAAATTAGTTACCGGCTGTAATATTTCTGTTTGTCTGAGTACCGCCTGAGTGGTTTCGAGAATTTTCGTTCCTCATCTGTTAACAGATAGCCATCAGAATTCTTTCCAGAATATGTATAAGCATTCAAAAGGTATCCAGTTCTGGCATCCGTTAGACGCATAACTATTAGATGTCATTGTAGATGTCATTTCTTTTAAGTCCCGGGCATTTAACAACAATGTTCTGTTGTAACGTGCGTGTATTCTTGGGAACTGGAGAATCCTTGCACCATTTAAAGCGATTCTTACCATAAACGTAGTTACCACTGGGAACATTTTCTGGATTTTCAATTCAATTTACCTAGATTTTTGTTGTCCTCTTCGTCGAATTCAACCTCCGACGCAGTGTCATGATCCGATAGTATATAGTCGCCATCTGATTCGATATCGCTTCCACCAGAATCGACTTCCTCTGCCCATTTCAGTAAAGTAGCTTCAAAATCAGCATCTCCATATTTTACTCTGTTTGAGGGCCCAGGATTAGAGTCCATACTCAATTTATAAGGCTAAAAACATCAGAAAAATAATAATTCAACATATCCAAATTATTACGTTTATACAGACCTCCGGTATTTTTTACCGGTTGCGAACTTTGAACTACGATATTTCGCTTGCTTCAAGTAATTCAGTCTCCATCCACCGGCTAATAGCATCAAACTAAGTGTTAGGAAGGTATGTAGAAGCTCATAAGCGATAGTGGTGGGGATGCGATGAATTTCAGCAGTTGAAATTTGCAGCCGGTCATTTTGACCGGATGTCTGTGGTTAAGGGTTAATATGCAGAGGTCGAAGATTCATCGAACCTAAGTGAACCCACCTAATCACGATTCGATTTCGCCTTTTGAATCGATTTTACTCACCCCTTTCCTTCGAAACCTCTAACGAAGGCGTAGGAAGTATAGATTCTGTCTACTTGTCGCCATTTTTGCTTGCTAAAAAAACATGTAATAGACGAACAAAAACTTTTCTCTTCGTATAATTTTTCCTTGGATAATTCTCATTAGAAAACATAAATTTCGTTTGTTTTAGAACATGCATATTTTATTGCATAATTGTCATTGCTTTACGACATCCTACTTCAATAGGTTAATCCCAGTATAATCGTATAAATTTCACGACGACTTCGAATAAGATGATAGTTAACTCACAGTCTTTCGTGGCGTTCACGATCGTTTGAGCAATGGAAATTATTCTGTTGATTTCTTCATTAGTAGTGAGTAGTTCATAGTATACACATTACTTCAACAAAGCTATAGCATACATCTTTGACTCGCAATTATCGGTCCACTATAAAGAATATTAATATAGTACCTGGTCAAACTTCAAGGGCTGATCGATTACGAAAGTTTTATATAAGAGGTGTCAAATTATTTTTTGAAATATTTGCTAACCTATTTTGTTGAAATATAGTGAGTACAGACATATCACCAAAAATCCAGATAAATTAATAAAATCAACAAGACCCAAACACCCAAAGGGAAATCTAACATCCTTAGATGATCATGAAAATACCTGGTTTCAATGAGGCATTTTTCTAAATGCGTTCTGTCTGTACCAGCTAAATTTTAGCAAACTCTAATAAGACCAGTCAATGATAGGAATTTTTTGCAAAAATTTGATACTTTGTACCTCGGAAACGAAGCATTAGGTACCGGAATTTTATCACCATTTTATCCGATTGTCTCAGAAGAAGGGTTATGTCTTTCGCGCGTTTGTATGTATGTATTTATGTGTCAAAAATAATTCACGGGCTACAGTACAAACGACTTGATTGAATTTGACAAATGGTGTCTTTAGATTTGTATTGATAGCACAACTAAAACTTCATTCTTTTAAATGTACTTGCTTACTCATTATCACCCAAAGAATCATACCTTAAGCTCTGGCCAGAAATTTTATTACCGCCCTGTACAGTTTCACTGAATTTTTGGCATTCAAAAGTACAAATGTTTTTGACATGACATTTGATATGTAGTGTGCAGACCCTTTACTGCTTCTCATGAAGTTATATATCCAGGAAAGGAGCATATGGCGGCTATCAATCCAAGACTTATACTGCAACATCTGGTGTACCTCAGGGGTCCAATTTAGGACCTTTGTTGTTCATAATCTTTATTAATGACTTATCGCTGTCTTTGCCATGCTGATGCTGATGATTTGAAAATTTATGATGTTATTAATAATCTCAATGACTGCATTCTGTTGCAAAACTGCCTGAATTGTGTTCACTTATGATGCTCTAACAATACACTTAATATTAATATCTCAAAATGCAAGGTTATGCCATTTACTAGAAAACTACATCTTATAGTATACGATAACTATAACATTGATGGCAACCTGCTGGAGCGGACACCTACTTTCAAGGTCACTACCCTGAAAGAGGTTTTGACCTTTCGGCGCTGTTAAGAATATTTCAAGTTGAGCCGTTACAACTATGGCATGATTTATCAATGCTAAGGTTATTACTAAGAATGCAATCGAGAAAACTCTGTATTGGACTGTTACCGAGAATTGGTACCTTGGTGTGATATAGAGTCAATATGTTAAGAGATATTTTCACATTGCAAATACTGGCATAGTTATGTACATTTATTTGTGTTTTTCTTTTTTTTATGTTCCGCTGTTGTTAAATTATCGATCCATTTTATGCATAGAGATTTCTACACTGCACAGTTCCTTCCGCTTTGGAAGCTGTCTAAAGTCGATACGAAAAAGGAAATACGCAAACTACAGAACTGCACGTAATTGTTTTGAAGAATTTCACACTTCGGGCAGGAAAAGCTGGCAGAAAGCCTATGTTCAGCTTCTCTGTATGTAGTGAAAACTTCTTTATAATCTCTCAGAACCACTAATTTAGAACAGTATAAATGGCTAGTTCTATTTGGGGCATCGTTTCGATTTGAAAAAATTAGGATAATTTGTGTTTTCAGACTATTGCGACGGTACCAACCGCACTCTGCCAGTACGAATGCACGACAGCAGGAATGTTCAGATACCCAGACCCCACGTGCAGAGCTTTCTATATTTGTGCATTATACAACAGCAGATTCGTCAGAAGCAACTACACTTGCCCCATCAGCAAAATATTCGACCAGACCACCCAACAGTGCTCCTCAACAGCGTCTTGTGAGGATATCAGTACCGTATGTGGGAGTGAAACAGCTGCTGAACCACCATGGCCGACTTATCCAAATCCGACTGCGGTCAACTGCAGTTCTTATATCACTTGTTACGGTACCAATCCAATTGTAACATCTTGCCCTAGCGGGTACTATTACAATAATAAGATCAACTCGCCAGGATGCTTCACCAAGCCTGATTGTACTTGATGTATTCTGATTGAGAATAAAGGTGCTTCTTTTTGAAAAATATACCCGTATTCCAAGAAAAAGACAATCAAAGATACCTGTTAAGGAGCTCGCGTGCAGAACTGGATATGTCCACCTTTTACACAAATTCGTATTTTGACGGTTTCTGAATCCGAATCGCGACATTGATACTGCCATACTTAGGTGCCGTTCAAGTATTACGTGAGCACTAAGGGGGGGGCCAGGGGGTCTTTGCTTTGCTTATTTTGGATAGCATAGGGGTAGGGGAATCTAGATGATGATTATGTCATCGGTAGTTATTTACTTTTTTACGAATGGCAACCCTCACATTGTCTTTGCTTGAAAACGAAACGCATTTTCGGGGATTCCCGCAAATAATGCATACGTTTAGTGAACAGCGCGCGGTAATTCCCCTACTCGCTTTAGAACCGAGTAGGGGAATTACCGCGCGGTGTTCACTTGTCTAAATTTCCTCTATCGTTTGGATTCTATAGCGAGTAGACGTATTGTAAGCATAGTAAAGCAAATTAACATTTGTGTTACCATTGATTCCATTAGCCAAAGTTTAACGTTTAAATAAGATGTCGTTTCACATAGAGAAACCCAAGTTATACCAAAAATTGTTTGAAAGTTTTAAAAAATCTCATACAAGTACGAAAGTACAAAATGTACAAAATGTACAAAAGTTAGTTAACGAAGTGTGGCGAAATTACAAATCACAAGCAAAGTCCGACAAGGAACTAGGTATTATTGTATCTAAGAGAATCGAAGAAGGATTGCAAGCGGCGAAGAATAAATCCAGTCTACTAAATTTTTTTTCTAAAGTGAGTGACGAAATCATTTTAGGTACCTATGAGTACTAGAAATATTAGAAATCGCCAAAAAGTTTCTCTTTACTGATTAGAAAATATTATGGCCTATCTCAAAGTATAGAGGTCAAATTCATTATATTATAGATTTATTTCTTATGATTGATTCCGTCAATTGGTCATAAAGTACAGTATGTTAGTTTTATACATATATACAGAAAACTAACACCCTGTATTTTGTGACCGGAACGAATTGCTCGTTTAAACATATTAGATTTAAAGCCATAGGGCTTTGTATTTACCATATATATTTCCATACTTTGTATTTATGTAGCTTAATAAGAGAATCTTAAGCAGAAGCCATAGAAAATTTTTATTATTAGGCAACCTGTAAACCTGCAGAAAAAACACAAATTATACAGTCAGCTTCAAATATTAAAAAAGAGGAAGAAGATAAAATAAAACCCGGTAATGAATCACAACAGCAATGCGAAATCAATGAAAATACAGATAAACAGAGAGCAAAACCTTCTCAGGAAGCTATGAAAAATAAGATTGCCCTACTCGAAAAAAATCTGAATGCTTTGTATTCTGCACGAGATACTATGCCAAGCCGTGCTGAAGTTGATAAACAGATCATTGAATTGCGCGAGGAAATAAAAACAGCAAAACAGTCTTTAAACAGGAAGGTTCAAAACGCAGTTGCCCAGAAGAAACACAGGGATGGTATGAAAAGAAAGTTAGAAGATATTTGTCATGAAAATCCAGATATAAAAAAAAAGACTATCTCTGAGGGATTCAGTGGGACGTCCTAATCTTGAAAGCAATCAACATTCACTATTGAAAATAATCGCGGATATAGCTTTATTTGGAAGTGCAGCAGATGATAGAAGACGAACGGAATCAATTCGCAGCGTAAAAACTCTTGTTGAACTCACACAAGTATTACGTAAAATAGGATTTGACATTAGTCGCAGGGCCAGATGAAAATCCACGTTATCAAAAAGTCATAGGGTTTGCTATACAACACTTTAAGCGACATGATCTCGATGCATTGTTTTTAGCTACCATTGCTCCTGGAAGAAGTGCGTATAACACAGTAGAGCGCAGAATGACTCCTCTTAGTCGGGAACTGGCTGGTTTAATATTGCCTCATGACCATTTTGGGTCTCATTTGGATGAACGTGGCGTTACAATTGATGAATATTTAGAAAGATCTAATTTCGAATTTGCAGGAAATGTATTAGCTGAAGTATGGAGTTCAATGGAAATTGATGGCTAAAATGTTAATGCAAAATATGTTGGGGCAGGTGAACAAGATCTTCCTGATTTTCCAGACATTAAATGGTATTCAGAACATGTGCGTGAGAGCCAATACTTGCTTCAAATTGTAAAATGTAGAAATACAGAATACTGTCGTCCAAGAAATGGCCTATTTAGATTACTAGACAATAGGTTTCTTCCACCACCTGTAAAAATAAAACAAATAGTTGATGACTTGGTTTTGGATGAAGGAGGGCAATTTCTTAATCTTCCAGTCAATTTAGGTCTACGCTTAAGTGCTTCACTCAAAGATTTCCTGCAAATGCCCTACGATTATTTTTGTCCGACGGTAAAATTGAAGTCGAACATGCAAAACATGTGGTCTTTATCATGCTTCCGTCAAGTCACTAAATCATCACATCGAAAATATCCATAAAACAGTAAACACGCACACTGATAGAAAAGTTAGATCTGTAAGAGTCGCTGCTCGTCGTGCTAATGAACTGATGTGCATTATTCAAAATTTAGAGCACCATGATGTTGAATGGCTCGATGAGAACGACGTAGACATTCCAAAATCCGATGAAAGCGAGCAAACTCACAACACTGAGCAGCAATCGAAGCAATCCAATGTCATCGAAAACTTAGAATCATGGATTCGGGTTTCATGGATTGAAGACTGTTAATTTGAATTTAATATATGTACCAAAAATTTAAAATAAGTTTGTTATGTTAGTAAGATATAATATTTTTGTCCTTTACTCTATGTTGAGTACCGTATCAGTAAAATATAATCTCTATCCTAAATCTATTTTCTTATTTTTCAAATTATAATTATAACGTTATAATTAAAATATTAAAAAAACAATACATTAATTGACAAATGTTTACGTAAGCATGGGGGGAGGGGGTAAGATCTTTGCTTACTTTTGCTGACAAGGGGGATGGGGGGTAAATAATTGTAATAAAGCTGCTTACGTAATACTTGAACGGCCCCTTAGGTATAGGTAGACTTTATAAACTAAACTAAAGAACGTGATAAATCTGTTATCAGAGCAACGCTCGAACCGTGCTACACACATGTTCCGACAAAGGCTTTGTTGTTGAAACTACATTGATTTAAAGACGTAGAATTTATAAACGTGATAAATCAGTTATCATAGCAACGCTCGAACCATGCTACACAAATGTTCCGAGAACGACTTTGTTGTTACAACTGCATTGATTTAAGGACTAAGAATTTATAAACGTGATAAATCAGTTATCAAAGCAACGCTCGAATATCTGATTACTGCTAGTAATTTGTCAGAAAACAATACGGCATAACATACATCATACTATAATTAATAACCTGTGTTATCGTCTCATGAGCGATATATAGAAAAAATATTTGCCTATATCAGCTGCCATTCCCGAAGTTATCCGTGCCCGCTACCTAAACATCACGCAGAAAAAGACTCGTAAATCAATTTTTACGGATTTCCTGTGTGCCCGAGGCAATAAGTTTATGAAAACAAGGGGAGGCTGGCTATCTGGCGAAATCCGGGTCTAGGGAACCACTCAAGTATTGTCCGGAGTATTTTCAGAAGTGATCAAGTGACCGTAGATGCATGGTCCTCTACCTCCGGTGGCTCTTAATAAAAACATGGCTTTTATAGATCGTAAAATTTATTATCTGCATGATATTATTCGGAAAGCATTGACGTTCTTCAGACAGTTTTTTTTGTGAGATGCTCCATTCAATTTATGGAAATGCCAGTCATCTAAAAGAAACAGCAACCTGCATATCTATTTTCCAAGCAGAACTACGTACTATACAGGGTGTACTTGAAGTTGAGCATAGTAAACATTAGTGTCGGACCGAAGTTTGGGTTTAAGTTCCGGCCAAAGAAGAGATTGCGTTCGAAGTTCTGTTTTGGCCACAAATCAGCCGAACCTGACTTCGTGATTCGTGAACTCTTAGGTTGTCTTAAAGTTTGTATATTTGTTTATACAGGGTGTCCCAGAAATAACACCGCCACAGTGACACGGGAGGCAGAGTGGCTTCAGATCAATCAGATAAAATCACCATGACCTTAGTCAAAGCTTTCTAGTTTCCGAGATATTGCCACTTTTACTACTAAAGATTGTCACGTGCCAAAATCCCGTAACTTTTCTATTTACTATTTTGACCACTTATGAGCAATTTAAATTTCTCTTTATTGATTATAGAGTGCCCATTCCTACACCAGGCCCTTTTTAATGATTTTCTTTTGTCAAATTTCATAGTTAATTGATTGTAGAATTTCTCACGTATTATATCCGTCATTCTCAGCGACTCAATATTGTATTGAAATCTTTTGGATACTGGTAGACTTTCGACGTTTCTGCCTACAGTCTGCCTATCGGCAACGAGCGCGCCATCTTATGATGTTTATACGTACTAGCCATATATGAATGTTTGTTTACCTTCCTTCCTATCAAGACATGTTCTTTACCGGTTTTTACCTGTTTCTTTTGATGTTCTGTTGAACGTGCCTTCTTTAGGGCCACTTATTTAACCTTCTTTTAGGGTGCCATGTGTAGGCAGCAGCGGTGGCCGCAGTAGTAGACTCTCGGTCTCCTGATCAGTCGCCGTGCGCTGTGCGGGTTCGAGTCCCGTCCCAGGAGAAATTTTTCTCTTGGCTATGGATGTTGTGATTGTCCTTAGGTGGTAGACGGTCTGTCGAACGCGGAGGTACCACCCGGCGGATCTCGTAGGCGGAGCCAGAATGTGTGCATGCTGCATGCATACGTGTTCCCTCGCCAGAGTCCGTGTGGCGTTCCCCCTTTCCCCTGTATCACCCTATAGCCCCACGGTACCCAATGGGTGTTTAGGCCTTAGGCCTTCGTGGTAGTTGGAGTATAAAAAAAGGGGGGTTGCGTGCGCAGACGGTCCAGCGCAATTTTCTTTTCGCTGTGATTTTGGTTGTGTGCGGGCGTTTTTTTTCGGTAACTTCCAGATTTTCGGATATTAATGCCCCCAAGCACCAGTTTATTTTGTACCTTACGTTTAGTTGTTTTGATTTGGGTCTACCCCGTCCATCTTCGAATGGGATTTTAACCTCCAGCGGTAAGTTCTCTTTTGTATACCATCGGACTATGTCCATTAATGCT